GAGTATGAAATTCTATCTTTTGTCACAGATTGTTATATTTTTCAGTTTTATGTAGGTAATTTTTAATAGCCTTCCCTCAATTGCCTTATCTCAAGAGCTGGAAGTCAAACTGTGTATTTTTTTCTCTTACATTGTTACTAGGAGTAAGTAAGTTTATTTCAAGTTCTGTCTTCTGTCATTTCATTTTTTTTTAAAATGTCATGGGCTTTCAGCTTGTTATTCTAGAGAAGAGCTATAGATTTCTTTCCTGTGTGGTATCTGCAACTTAATTTGCAGCTGCTCAATAGAGTGTTACTGAAAGAACATCCCAGCTATCATTTGTCCCCCTTGTTTCGTCTATGGCATTTTAGAGAGTCCTGATAAGTATCTGTGGTACCACTTACAGGAATTGGCAAAATCTGTGGGGTCTGGTGTGTCTTCATGGCAAATGATGCAACTGTGAAAGGAGGAACTATTTATCCAATTGGAGTGAAGAAACAGCTAAGAGCTCAAGAAATAGCCATGCAGAACAGGCTGTTATCGGTATACCTCGTGGACAGTGGGGGAGCATTCCTACCGCTACAGGTAATCTTGGGACCGCTTCATAGAAGAAAATACCTATGTTTATCTTAATCATATTAATTTTTAGCAATTACCCTCAGATATGTGCTGTGTTTTCTTGACTGTCTTGACTTTCATTGTCTGTTACACTTACATTGAGTTTTGTCCACAAATCGGAGTCCAGGAGATTATTTGAAGACTTGTGACAGTGGCGATTGCTTTGGCTGATCTTGCACCTAGCATCTCATGGAAGTTTAGAAACTTGAGTATCGGGAGGGGACTCAAATTGCTGACCAAGCGTGGGTATTCCTCAGTGTGCTGAAACGCTTTTGTGGGTTTAATAAATCAGTATGTTGCTTGAGGTTTCTATTTCCAACTTCAGAATCTATAAAGTTACTCTGTATTTTACTGTGATGCTTGTGATAGTAATGCAGTAACCTCCGTGGCCTTTAAAAATGTAGTTTTTTAAATTCTTGCTGTAAAAGGAGAATTTGCACAGGTTACTTTCCAGTGTACAGAGGTCATATTATCACAGAGACTATGGTTGTTCCCTCTCCAGACTGAAAGCAAACACAAAGTTTTTACCTGACTTAAGGAATTGTATCAAAAAACTAAGTAAAAAGGGAAACTGTGCTGAAGTAATTTCACAGATAAATTATGAACATGAGCTTCCCTTTCTCCATGTTTACAGTTTCAGTTTGTTTAGAATAAATTTGTTTCACAAAAAATTACAAAACTTACTTCTGTTTTTGAAACACTGGGGTATTTTTGTGGAATTGCAGAAAGTATAAGGGGCATAAATACTGTAGGGAATGCTGTAAGGGAAAGTGTCAGGTGTGGTTGTTAGTGGTGACCTTCCCAGAGTCGCTTACAACGCCTCTGTGAATGAACGAAGAGGAAGCGTTGGCTTTGGTAGTTAATACTGAAACTCAACTTTGTCTTTTCTCTGTGATGTCAGTCAGAGCTGTTTCCTGACAAATTGCACGGTGGCAGAATTTTCTACAATGAAGCAAGAATGTCTGCCATGAGAATCCCTCAGGTATGGTGGCATTTGGAGTACAAGTAAGTGCAGTGCATGAGGTCGATAGAGTTCTGAAGAAAGTTCTGTTCTACTACGGACTCTAGGAACAGCTGTCAAACATGCAAAAAACTTCCTAAAGCTCGCCTTTTCTGCTTGTGGGGAAAAGGATTCAAATAGTATCTCACATAACAATACCGCAGCCTGAAGGGTCTTCTAAGTGTTTGCCGACTGATCTTGAAGGCAAAGCATCAATTCACTAGGTTATATCAGAATAAACACTGAACTCTCTCAAGGACAGCATTGTTCGTGCTGGTATTTATATCTCTAGTTCATTGTCCCCCAAGCTGCGATTTAGTCTCTGAAATAAACGTGATGGTTTTGCCTTTCCGTTCTCCCCTCTCTGGCATCTCGATTTGTTTGGGTGTCTGTGTCCTTCAGGTGGCAGTGGTGTGCGGCTCCTGTGTCGCTGGAGGTGCCTATGTTCCGACCATGGCAGAAGAAGCTGTGATCGTAGATAAGATCGGTACACTGTTCCTTGCTGGCCCACCTCTGGTAAAAGCTGCTACAGGAGAATATGTCTCTCCCGAGGACCTAGGAGGAGCTAAACTTCACTCTCAGTATGTGAAATAAGTCTCGAAAATAGTAGAGAATTGAGTGTACTTAGCTTTAAAGAAACTGTCATTCTAACTTAAATCGATGGGACTGAAGCTGCTGCAGTGAAAGTCCTCAAGGACTGAAAAACATGCAGTGAAAGAAACCGGTTTGGAGAGTCACAGTGTGGGTTAAAGTTTTTCCTTTAGTTTGGGTTTTCTGTCAGAATTCAGATTTCATTAATTCGATACTAATTAGTGTTGCTCTTCCTCCTAGAGTCAGTGGCTGTAGTGACCATTTTGCACCCTCGGAAAAGGAAGCCTTTGAATGTATCCGAAATGTTATCTCAACGCTAAATTATGATCCGCTGCCAGAGGAGGTCACAGAGCATGACAGTCCTCTGTATAGTCCAGAAGAGCTCTTGGGACTGGCACCACGAGACTACAGGTGTACTCTTCCTGTAAAACTGGTAAGGGGCAGATACTGTGTTCCTTCGCCCTTTCAGTCTGCTCTACCTGGTAGCTCCAGATTAACAGATTCTTGGAGAATCCTGGAGTACCTGAGATACTATGTATTGCTTGGTTGCCAAACTGGCTTGAGTCTGCAACAAAGCACAATGGCAACAATTCTGTAGAACTATAGAAAATATTTCAGCTGAAAACCTGCTAGAGAGAAGATAATGACAGATTATGCCAGCTGATCCCCATCTGTTTTCGTGCAGTGTTGGGGATGCTGTTATGTCAGTATGGTTTGTACTGTCTTGGCTGCCTTGAGAATGTGTACCCCTCTAGTGTCCTGTTTTCCCCTCTCTCTGCCGCCTTTTTTTTTTTTACCCAAGTAGTCAAGACTCTGTCCTGTCACTTAAATGCCTTATGAAAATAATGTCTGAAAACCAACAAAGCTCAAATTAAACTTGTTTGAGGCGGGGACAGACGCTAATACATCAGCAGAGACGTGCAGAGGTGCCCACTCTATTTTCATTGTGTTGCTCTAGAAGTGATTTAGTCTCCAAGGATGTGAATCCAGTATCTTTTCCAGGGGTAAATTCCTACGGTTAAGGGGATTGACTGTAGAAAGCAGCGTAGCTTTGGAGGCGCCTTTTAAGCTGTGTTTGAAAAAAGCAGGAGCAATATGCTGCTGAGTGTTTCTCATGCACAAACTGTCACTGCGCACACTGGGTTTTTTACATTTTTATGCACGTGAACAACTGTGCTCTGTAACACTGAAATAATTTTGGAGTTGAACTTTGGCTCAAAATACATGGTTGGTAATGAACACAAATTTCATACTGCGTGCACATGGAATATTTAACGGAGAGTAAGCCATAAAAGGGCCTTCTGTGCTCATGTAGGCTGACTTCTTGCATTACGCAGGTCTCGTTACCGGTTGAACAGAGCATGTCTTTTAGCAGAACCATCCTATTTTCACTTAAATTTCTGTGGTAAAGACTGTATGTTTCTTTGCAGATTCTGAGCCGTCTGATGGATGGAAGCAGATTCCAGGAATTCAAGGCTAATTACGGAACAACGTTAGTAACAGGATTTGGCCATGTGGAAGGGTAAGGTTATAACATTTCACTATCAAAACGTATGGACATATTTGTCTAAATCGTTTTCCTATCTTCATCAGGTTTTACAGTATTCCAATAATGATGTTTATGAAGTTCTGAGTCAGTCAAGAATTGGTAATGAAACACTTCTAGAAAGCCTGATCTTCCGTCTCTGAGCTCTGAGTTCACCGTCGGGCCAATAGCAGCAGAAAGTCGTTACAGATGAATGGTTTTCATGACTTTGTGAAATGATTTGTTTGTTCACAAAAACTATTAGCCAGCCAGTTGGAACATCGAAGTCTCAGCAGATTCCTTAAGAAATAAAACCCAGCATCTTTAAAGGTGTTCCTTCCCAAAGTGAACTGAATGCTGTTGTCCCTTCTCCCGTGTGATGGAGATGGGATAACACCCACACAATAAAACCTTGCGTAATTCAGATCAGGCTGTATTATTAACACGCTCATGAAGCATACAACATTCCAGTCAAATCATATTAGGAAAAAACAAAGGGTAGTAAAATGTATTTTTTGAGCCTTTTCACATCGAAAGCATAAACTTTTCAGATTGGCTGTTGTATGTTGCAGGAATTGGAGAGAGCCCAGAGTCCTGGCAGCTCGTATGTTGCCTTGCAGTGTAAACTCTTGACGGGTCATCTAGAGCTTGACCTGTCCTGTGGGTATAATCCATGTTAATACTCACAGGCTTTACGTACTGGGAGTGCGGTAAGGCTTCAGGTTTGTTAGGTGTGTGGGGGTGCTTGAATGAAATGACACACTTACATGCACTCTTTTACATCCTGAATTTCTGTAAAAGGCAGATTTGTGTGTGTGTGTGTGCAGATATTTATGTTCCTGTCCTTCAGATCGTTACGAGCTATGGCTTCATAATTTCTAGGGTTCAAAAGTGAAAACGTTCACATGTCTGTTTTGTAGGCGCTTGGTGGGGATAGTGGCCAACAATGGGGTGTTGTCTCACGACGCGTCTCTCAAGGGTAGCCATTTCGTCCAGCTGTGCAGCCAGCGGAACATTCCCATCCTCTTCTTCCAAAACACCGCTCCACATACAGCAGAGCCCACCAGCATCTCACAGGTACGGCACTTCTGGTTCAATATGCTTACTTCAGGCAATTCCTAGTTCTTGTTGTGTTTAAGGTTACATTTTGAAAATTGTTGTTAGGGAAATTATTATTTTTAAATTATTTGCTGGTTTAAACCAAGAAGCGTCATACTACTATATTCTTAAATGTTTCCATTAGCATTCTGACTTCATGCTAATTTGAAGCAGGCCTCTATGCTTATCTAAAATGGTGCTGTCGAGCTGGCAATGTAAGCTGTAACGCTTGACATTTATAGTGCTTTTCCCATTGAAATACAGCCTAGGGATTCGTCTGATGCCACTGTGCTCCACAGAAAAAGAGTTCTTTCTCTCTTAGAAAAGTGAAGGCGTTGAAGTACGGTATGTTTTGTCCTGGGCTACAGAGAGCTCCCAGTAAAACCCACATTAGGTTCTCTGAGCAGAGACTGTTTCTTCAGCCCTCTTCCTCCCAGTCATCACCAGCACTTCAGACAAAGCCTGGCATCACTGTGTTGTATCTGAGCTTTGCTAATGCCTGGGAGAGCTAGGGTTGCTCGACACCGCAGGTTTTTGCATGCTGGTTATAATTTCTTTTGCTGATTTACATTGTAAAATAAGTGCATAGTGGGCTGTGACAGTTAATGATGCTACCTGTCTGTTGTGGAAGAAATGATCACACAGAATTGTAAAGAAATAAATGTTTTAGAAATACAAGTTTGGTGGGAGTGGAGGGAATCTAGAAGGATGACTTAAAGGATCTAAAATATTTATTTTCATTTCAGGCAGAGGCTCATTCCAACAGATTAAAAGCCCAGGCCTCCATGATGGCTGCTGTTGCTTGTGCTGCTGTCCCCAAAATAACTGTTGTAATTGGTGGCTGTTACGGGAGCGAAAGTTACATTATGGTACGGGTGGCACAAATCTAAGGGGGTAGCAATAGCCTTCTTCCACTATAGATCTCACAGCACTTCACTTTTAAAACACAGCCGGCTGTTGTTACAGACATTTACTTCAATCCATTATTTTAACTACTTTTAAAGAAAGAACTGCATCATGAGGTGTGCTGACTGAAAGTTTGGTCTGCATCTGAGACCCCAGAACCAGCTCGAAAAAAACAGATTATCTGAAAATGTCCCTTCTTGGGAGCCAGTCCTGCCTCTTTCTCCGCAGGCGTTTTCAGCGATCAAGGAGCACGTCTCCTTTAGTTGTGTCACTCTGCGTGCTGTTCACACTGTAGTAAGTGCAATAGGCTCCTTGCTCAGAATTAAACATGTAAGTGCTTGGAGGAAAAAGGAAATGATAGCATGGCAGTATTGAAGGCAGCACAGCTCGTGATGCTGCCACCATGGGATGTCTGTACTGACACAGGAGCTGTAGCTGTAACAGTGAAGCAGCTGTATCTTTAATACTTTACAAATTAAACTCTGTTACATTCTGCCTCAAACTTGATTGTGTCACCCTACAGCCATCTTTTTGTGATTCCTTTCAGTGAGTTTGTACTGTGCATTGTGTGTTTTTGTAGTGCGGGAGATCTTTCAGTCCAAACTTTCTCTTCCTATGGCCTAATGCAAGAGTTGCTCTTGTGGATTCAAGACATTTCTCCACAATCCCACAAGATGGGGACAATGACTGTACAGGAGATGAATCAGAGCTAAAGCATCTGAAAGAAAAGTAAGGACATGAAATATAAACCCTTGCAGTTACATAGGGATTTCATTAGTTAGATTACCTACTTTTGTTCATCTTGCAGATCATCACATTCCAAACACATAAAACAAACTTATATCTACTGAAAAACATTTAAAATTTCCATGTAATTCTGTGTCTGCTGTCACTATCTGAAGGAAACACAAATGTTTGACTTAACCCTGCCCCCCACCACCCCCAAACCATACAACCTCAAATCAAGATACTCTGCTGTGTATTAAACAGTGGCAATCATCTGAGTGTGGAAGATGGTCTGCACTGCAGAATGATCAGATCTGTTATGGATTATTTGCTGGATTCTAATTAATTTTAACAGTAGTACTGCACACTCACTGGAGATTGAAGTATATGCCTTTTTCATCTATGATTTTGGTTTGCTGGCCTGATGTTTTTTATTGCATTTTTGTGCTTTTAAGCTTGTTTAATACTCTCTCTTCTCCAGGCTAGAAGAAGAAAGCAGTGCCTTTTACTCCTCTGCCAGACTCTGGGATGATGGTGTAATCCTACCTCAAAATACTAGAAAGGTAAGGTTTTTTCCTCCTACTACATTTTATTCTTGGATCTCAAAAGGATCTTGCAGCAAATCCGTAAGCCTGTGACTTGCTCAAGGTCAGCGACATGCTGGCTCCCAGAACTGGGTCTCTCATTCCATTTTCTGTGGAATTAAGCTTTGCAATTCTCCTCTTTTCTCATCCCCATTAGTCTATCCAAAAGTTTGTTGAATTCTGATTACCTTCTGGTTACTTGAGTACAGCATTTCCTCATTAACCCTCTCAACTGACTTTACCGTTTGATTCTATATCCGAATCCTTTCTGTTTTCATCTTGCATAATCACCCAGATCTTTATGTTTTTAAGTTCAGGCTCTTCACCGTTCACACTGTTTCATTCTTGTGTCCCAGGATGTTTTCTTTTGTGAGTTTCTGTTCCTGCTTGTAATTTGCTGCTTACATTTGGGATGCCCCCCTGCCTTTTTATTTATATTTTAAGTTGGCAGACATTCACTCCATTAGCTGCTGCCTTTGTTCTTCTATTTTCCCTCATTAGATTGTTTATTAGCAATACTTAAAATGTTCTTTGCACTTCTGAAGCTTGTTTACTTAAAGATCACAAATACAACCTGCTGTTCATTAATCCTAAATGTGGTACATGTTTATGGTACTATGTAGATGTTAAGTATTTTCCATGGGGTTTATGGGCGCTTTGATAATAGGAGAGCACCGAGAAGTATTTGCTTGTAATGGAGCCCTGAGACTACTTCTCTCTAGGAGCTACACATGAAAACGTGTGGTAGTTGAAATGAATCGTTGTTACTCTCAGGTGATTTTCCCCAGCATATCACCACTCATCTTTGCATGTGTAGCTGGTTGTTTTTTCTTTTTTTTTTTAATGATATTATTTTGCTACTTTGTCCCAGTTCCTGCTCATAGGTGGAATTCATGTTTAGCTTTGTCTGAACTGGCAGCATGTGCCTATTCAGGTCCGTAGTGTGCTTTTTTTAAAACAGGCTTTGAAAAGACACTGTGTGCTCCAGTAGTGGTGGAATATGGAGAATTATCTTGTTCTTAAAGACCAAAACCAGTTCTGTACTCTCAGTCCCTGTTGTCCCAAGACACCAAGCAAGATGACTTCTTAGAAAAAGATGGTTGTGGAAGAGCAGGATGTTCTGCCCATTTCTGATATGTGATGGGGAACCTAAGGAGCATAGTGATGTAGTAACAGAAATGCATTATCACATAATACATTTTCATTGGAGTTTTATAGCAGAATAGCTTCCCAGTAGTCATTCTCTCATCACCACAGTGAATTTAAGGTGGTTGAGTGGTGGTCTCTGTAGGCAACGCGTAAGCATTGGGATCCCGGGGACATTTCTGCCCTTAGGTTTCCCCTGCCCCAGTGGTACAGGACACTGACGTCTGCTTCCCCCAATGCTGCAGCCAACAACTGTTCACCCCAAACGTTGATCGTTTTGCAAAAAGTAGGAACAAGTGCATTACTGAATGACTGCATAACTAGCAAGTTTTACTCATTTTTTGTTTCAGAGGCTCATTATTTATATTGGTTTTTGTTTTTAATTAGGTCATTGCACAGTGCTTAGAGATTCTAGAACAGCAGAAGCACCAGGTCATATCTCCGTGTCAGTATCCTGTCATCAGAATGTAACTGCAGCCATTTTCAAATAATATCAGCCTTCTAAAGTTAGCACCGTGTACTAGAAATCTTTAATGGAAATGATTTTCTAATTCTTTGATACCATTAATAAAAATGTTAAACCATTGCAGACAAACAAGAATCCTGGATCTTAAGTCTATTAGCAATAAGTTTGTATTTTGAAGCATAGCCTCTGACTACATTGGTTGAAAATTTATTTTGTGAAAAGGAAGGATTAAGCAGAGAGCCTAGAGCACTCTACGGAAGCAAATTCAGCCCAAGCAGTAAGAATTGCCTGATTTTTTCATATTCATGTCTTAGCATGAAATCCAGAACTCGAGAAACTGCACTTTGACAAAAGAAATGGGAAAGAGAAAACACTAAGCTTGTCTCTGCCATTTTCAGCCTCAGGAAAGGACAAAATGGGGCCTGCCCGTTTGGATTTCCAAAGCAGCTATGGAAAGGCTCCACTTGATTGCTCTGGGGATACCAAAGGAGTGACCAGGAGGGGATTTAACTCCGTAATACTCCAGTATAGGCTAAAAACTACCTTTTCTCAAAGCCCATAACAGAGCACAGAGACTGTTCTACATCATGTTACCTCGTGTGCAAGTACTGATGTTACACTGTGCCGTTCCGTTTGTCTTTCACCCTGCCCCAGCTGCAAGGTTTAATTTCATAAAAACAAACAACTCCCCCACCACCCCAAACCTGTGGTGTTGTAACTGTGCTTGGCACTGCACAGCTGGAGATTATGCCAAAGGGTGTATTTGGGAAACACGTGGTTAAGGAGTTTGAAGAATCATCAACAAAACTGAAATGCTCGATCTTAATTAAGTAGCCATACAAATGAGGAGGTCATTTGAGTGTGTGTAATGGAGACTGCACCTTTTTGGAGCTGGGTGAAAGCTAATGTGAAGCGTCGCAGGCAGCAGTCACGCTCTTTTGAAGAGTCCGTGGAAAGTCACGGGAATGTTCACCTCCACCTCGGCCCTGGCGACCTCGCTCATGTCTTTGGCATTCAGGATGAGGAGGTAGGCGGGCTTCGGCCCAGCGCCCGGGCTGATCACGATGCTCAGCACAACCCCTGGCAGGCGAGAAGAACAACGCGCCTGTCCTTGCCGTGCCCTGCCCTCGGGCCGGGCCAGCTAAGGGCAGCTGCTTGCACACCGGACACCAGGGAATCCCATTGTTATCGCAGGGTCATCAGTTCTGAAGCGGGCAGCGAGATTATTTATCTATTTCTGACACTATTTGGGGTTCTTGCCATCATTGGCTCGCCAGCCTAGGGGACTGTGGCACAGTAGGTCCTAGAGAATTTGTTTTAAAAACTGTGAGAAATGTTTTTATTCTGTAAAGGAACTATGAAAAGCTATTGCAGGGGCTGACGACAAACCGCTTACTGGAAAACGTATATCAAATTTGTCCATTAGTTTTTTCAACATAATGACTTAATTTATAAATTCTAATTATGAGGTTTAGTGTAACAAAATACCCATTTCTGGATCCTGGCATCCCCATGTGGAATGGATGGGCATGCTAGCTCTTAGGAGAACATGGGAATGACCACACACTCCAGTCGGTGACAGCATCAAACAGCCTTGGGGACGATGACAGAACTGTGAGCATGGAGCCCGGTGTTAACTCAGCTTCAGAGATTGCTGCTGCGGGGGCTACAGTCCCAGGAAGCGAGAGAGACTTAAACATATTCCTAAAATGCACGTTGTCTACTTCAGTTAAGGGAAGCTTTTAAGAAAAAGCTTAAAACCTTTTCATTTCAGTGGGACTTAAGTCCTGGTGCAAGCACTTTTCTGAGCTGAGAACAGATAATGTGAAATTTGGTTTTGTGTAAACCAGCAAGAGCTTGCTCTTAAATTTAGCAGCACCCAGACTTCTCCCGTCTTCACATAATCCTGTTTGGGGATGAGGAATTGAGGGAATAAGCAGACACCCTCTCAGGCCCGCAAAAAACAGGTACAGGGCTGGGGACAGGTGAGGAAACGCCTGCAGTGCTTGGCATGAATACAACTACAGGTCCTCAAGCGACAAAGCCCCAAATTCACTCCACTCCTGCGTGAGGAGGATGGGTTAGGAATAAAAAACACACTTGGTTTGAGAGAGGTTCAAATTTTACAAAATTCTGCTAGCTGGAATTCTTTAAATATTGCAATTCCTGATGGAAAAAGGCTAGGAAAGGAGGGCAACAGATCATCTAAACCCAGAGGTCTTTCTCCTGGGACTTGTCTGGGAGCTGCCTGTGGGCTGGGCTTGTGCCCGCCTCTGGCACAGCCTCGCAGACAGCCCCTGCCAGCAGGCACGAGCCTTACAAATCACGATGCCATTGACCAAAACAAAATCGGTGTTACCGTCATCTTCCTCCAGAGCATCCGGGTGGGAAACGAAGATAGGCTCCGATGGGTACGAATCTGGCTCCTGCCACACCCAGGTCTCCTTTGTTTTAACATTCAGCTTGCAAAGCTAAAGCGGGGGAAAAAACCCAAACCCTCACATCTCAGAAATACTCATTCTTAAACTAAAAGGTCATAGAAAAATCGCATCTCGCCCGTTGATAGTTACCCTATCTGGGACAAAGTGGTTCAGGCCCAGCCCATACGTATACGTGTAAGGTTTCCCACCATATTTCTTGTAATTGATCTGTGGAAATTCAAAGGCTATGATAAAAAAAAAAAAAAATACACGTGCATCAGGATTAGTGGGACGAGGAGTGCAGGGGGTACTCGCGCTGCTGCTGGTTGTGCATCAGGGTCAGCATCCTACCATGGCGCGGTCCTGAGAAGATAACTTCTGGCTCCAGCCAGATGGTCTCATCGCTGCGCAAGGTTGCCGTAGCTGTGGTGTAGGGCAGGGTGACCAAGTTCTTGCCTGTGTCAGCCTGGGGAAAAAAAAAAATACCCAAGAGAAACGGAGAAGCAAATTTCATAGTCTGTTCGCACAGATCTGTTGCAAACTGCCTTGAACAGCGAAGGCCGCGACGTGCAGCAGAGTCTCATCAAGCTGCGGTGTGGCTCTATGCTCGGGGCTGGCTGCTGCTTCCCTTTTCTTAGTCAGCAATCCTGCAATAAGTGCCCGTTGCTAAAATTCTCCTGCACATCAGCCTTCCCTGTGCTCATAAACACGTGCATAACTTTTTGCAGCACGTGGGAAATCAAACAGAATGACACTGATCAGCTAAAGCAAGTAAGTCTCTCTGAAGACCCGTACTTTATGTGTCCCCCCATTAAATTACTTGAATTAAATGGGGTCAGGCAGAGCACTAGTGATGCTCAGCCATAAGCCCTGCAGAGGATTATTGGTGCAGACATGGGCAGCTCCAAGCCCCACCGGTACCTTGTCGATGCTCAGGGGCAGCACGTATCGGCGCGCTTCGGGCTGCGGGGCTTTCTCTGCCTGCCGCTTCACTTCATCCCAGTTTGCTCGTAAGTTGGCCAAGTAGAGGTAATTGTAAACAAACTCGAACCTGCGCAAAAACAGGATCACAGACAGAAACAAAGATGGCATTTGCAAGTAGGAGGGGTGTCAAATGCAGCTGTTTTTTTCCTGAAATTCAATGGAGGAAGATGAGTCCTGGTCCAGATCCTTGGCAGAAGCGAGCTCTGTATGTGCACCACTTCCCCTGCGAGGAGAACCTGGCAGCTGCTCATGGTCACCCCAAGCACCCTGCAGCAGTGGCCAGGATAAGCTCCGCTCAGGCTGCCCTGGCGACACGGCCAACCCAGGGCTGGGCATCACCATTTTGGTGCCGCATTTCCCTGTTTATGCAAAAAGCAGTGTTCAAACCTTGGCCAGATCCTGCTCACTGCAGCCCCAAGGAGATGAAATAGCATCAGCCTTTCAGCAGTCACTAACATTTAGTAAAGATAAAGGCAAATTAAAGATAAAAATAATTTTTCTTTTTTGGAAAATGAGTTTCAAACAGGATCTCTGCACCTCTAGATAACTTCCATGCTATATCGTCTGTCTGTCAACATTTAGATAGGTTGGGGGGGGGGCAGCGCAAGTGCCAGAAGTGATTCCAACAGGGAAGGGACATGCCAGCGCAGGGCCCGGCGTGTTCACTGCTGGGGCTCTGCTGACCCCCACCACAGGGACCCTCAGCCGCCTCCAGGCTCGGCACCACCAAGACTCACCCCTTCCAGGTGCAGAGGTCGACGATCAGAAATCCATTGTCTTCATAGGTGTTAATGTGATGGAAAAGGTTGAAGGCTGAGGTGCGGTATTTGATGTTGAGGAGCCTGCCTTTCTTCTTCTCTGCCACGTGAAGCCACACCTGAAAAGCAAGCAGCAGCTTGGTTTAGGCTCAGAGAAATGAAGGTGAAACTGGTATGATGGACCTCCCAGTCCAGGGCTGGCTGCCCACTATAGCCCAGTTTGGTACAACCTGCCACTTACCCCCATGGTTTCGTTGGACTCGAAGCAGTCCATGTAGTTGGCTCCCCAAAGGCTCCAGGAGGAGAGGAACTTGAGGAGGTTGATTTTCACTGGTGTTTCAACAAACACTATGTAGTTCGAAGTCAGCCCAAAGCTGTTTGGAAACGCACAGGGAGCACGTCAGGCTTGCGGCAGTTAGTTTGGACAAAACCCATGCAATCGTCCGTCTTAAGCACTGGATACAGCACACAGAACATGGCTTACATCGACAGCAGTGTAAACATCCTGATTTTGGTAAATCACCTAATTCTAGTTGCTGATTACGTGTGAGAGCATGCAATGCCAGCGATGCCATACACACATGTGCATGCTTTGCGTGCTTGCAGAAATAACAGGGGACTCTGTCGATCTGCGCTCGCTGCTCGGAGGGGCTGCTGCGCTGCGGCAGGGTGGGAGCAGCGGCCCTCTTCTGGCACCATGCGCCCTCGGCTGTACCAATCCCACGGAACGTTACCTGTGAACGTAGGAGGGCTTAAACCTGTCGCTGCAAGGGAACTGTACCACCACCTCCGACTTGTTCATCGGGTCTTCCTTGTCTGGAACAGGACAGTTGAAGGGTTACAGAGGGTTTTACCTGTACTTTGTATTTAGAGTGTTTACCCAGCAAGTTTGTGTCTTTAATGCAAAGTTCATGATTTAGAAACCACTTTGAAGTGTTTTAAAGGTAATATTGCCAATACT